TCTGACATCATGCCTGGCCTAGGAAACGATGTATGAAGAAAGTAAAGGGCAGTACTCTTCCCATGCACAGAAACAGCAGCAGTAGTTGTCCTTTACTCAGGCTGCCTCAACACTCTGCCACACAGACAGAGGAGATTTACTGTTTCCCTAATTTAAGTTTGGTATAAAGCTTTCAAAGGGATGCTGAATTCAAACAGCACAGCGCCTAGAGAACGAGCTAAAATATTCCTGGTAACATGACTTCTTCTGAGGGGCCACCCTGAAGCAGGAACAGACCACAAAATACGTTTGCACATACTGTACCCTAAGTGATTTAAAAATAATTACAGAACAATAGGTTACTATTACAAATGTGTAGTATGACTTTATTTCTTCACCACACAAAAATTGTTCTCCTGCATTCTCCACTTGCAATCCCTAAAGCAGAAACAGCAAGCAATCTCATAGGAAACGCTCCTAAAGCAAAAGCTCTTAGGACACATAAAGTGAAATTATTGCTTCCATGAAACAAAAAACAAGGATCAACATTTACATTTTATTTTATGCCCTCTTTTTCCACACGCAGATAATAAACAGTAAATCAGTAACTTTGCCTATGCCTTTTGATATACTTCAGAAATTCAGGTGAGGTTTTGCCATATCCATGAAAAATCAAGACATTTATTAATTATCCAACTTTCGGATACCTGATCTCTGGTCGCTATTCTGTGATACAGCATCTCTACAAATACTGCTTCTAAAAAGGTAATGTTTCCTTTCAAGTTCAAACTGCCACAGAAATGTTCCTTCTTCTTCCCTCATAGCATCCAAATTATTTCTTTTTCCTTTCCTTCCCCAAATGACTCATCTACTGATGCCTCAGAAAGGGCACTAGTTTCTTTTACTCTAATGACATCTCATTATTTTAAATTCAATAGTTCTGGGAGAGGCTCTCACAAAAGGACAAAAGGGATTCTCTGCTTCTCTCAAAAAAGGAGGTGATAAGAGGTTATTGAGATTGCAAGCTGACTCCTGGAATATACTTTACTAACCAAAAACCATGATGCAAACAAAAATACTTCTAGGGTGGATATCTCTGTTTTAAATGCAAATTAAATTTCCATTATTATGGAAGCCCCTCTTGTAAAATTAACATAACTTCTGCAGAAAATGAAATCAGAAAAAAAAAAATTCATTCCAATGAAAAAATAAAGCAGGCTTACCTCCTTGTCTGCCTTTATGAGGTAGTAAAGTATCAGAAATAAGGGGTCCATTGGTGTAACAAACAGCAGGCGCCCATCTAAGTGACAGATAATGTAAAAGTAAGCTTAGTACCAAGACAGAGTCAATGGAGTGTGGACAAGATGAGGAGAATTTTTTTTTTCAGTTAGTATCCCAATATTTTAATAAAATGTGCAGGAAAATAGTATTTGTGCTTTTATATTAAAAATACAGAGAGAACTCAATTCTCAACCCTGCCAAATCAGCACAAGCCCCTCTGCAGGTCTGCTGGCTTCAAGCACTCTTAATTTCACCTTTTTCTGGACTATATTAAAACCAGCAAAATTGAACCCTATTGGCAGATTTGGGTTTAACAGAAGCTATATACCAGATATATACTGTGAGCAAGGTAACACTGTGCTGGCAGAAGAGGTAGGTAGGCCAAGAAAGAATTTCAAGAGCTAGTTAAGTTAGAGCTGCTTCTCATCTGCAAGGGGAGAATCTGCATGCCATCTCCTAATAAAACCAAATAAACTTAAATAGCTCAGAAAACATGGCTCGGTATGTTGTATTCAACGTTACACACAAAGGAAGAACTTAAGTCTCCCATTAAAACAAACACCTCTGCCCATCTGGAGCTCATTGCAGGACAATGGCTTAGTCAGGCTTTTTGTGTAATTGCAGATAACTGGAAACAATGTAGCATCAACGAAATTCACTAATGAGACCAAATAATTGATGACAATTTGACATTAATTAGGAAACCAAAAGCAAATAAATGGGGTTTTTTTTGTTTTAAATCACATGACTAAGACAATTAAAGAAAAGGAAATCCTATTGCCATGGCCCTAAAACTAACAAAAGATGGGGTGGGAAGAACGTGGTTTGGACAAAGCTGATACCCAATCTAACATCTGTATTACTAACATGATGCATTGCGTGAGGCAAAGCAAGCACCAGGACTACTTACAAACATGAAAGCTTTAACAATAAAACTGGAGGGGGAACAAAACCACTAGCCACTTTCTCAAAGCTTCCATTTAAATGCTTTCCACTGTACCTCCAGGAAGAGGTATTTTTATTTGTTCTGAAGAGTTCAGACTCACTACAGGTGTATAAAGACCTCTGCCCTTCTCTGCAGATTACAAGACAATTTGCTTTAACTGCAAATACACAGCTTTTCTGTGTTGTTCTTCCCCTGGCCACTTCAGACATGCAGCAGCCCTAACATTCAGGAACAATTTTTCCCCCTGTATCTTTTAAAGAAAACTGAGGCAATGATTCCTTAAGGCAAACTGTTTCCCAAGGGCCAAAATAGAGATTAGAAAGGGAGGGGGAGAATACAATGTGGACATAATTGGGAGCAGGGAGCAGACCCAGTCTTTTGGCTCACCCCCAGACGGAGCAAGGAAAAGCTCAGAGACATACCACTTGCAACGCTATATGCACCTGCAAAGGATGTTAAAAAGTTAACACTTGCTTTGGGATATTGCCATTAAAGAAGGCATATGTCTGGTGGGGTTGCTTTTATTTATTACTGTAAATGGTCTTTTTTCTAGTTAAAAAAAGGATTAAATAAATATACCTTCATCTCCTACTTATTGCTTGGTCTACGGACATACTGGCAGGGAAACACGACTCCAATGACATCCTTACTGATAAAGGATTGTTAAAGCTACCACAACCAGTTACATAAGTTTCCTCCTCATTTTCAGAAAAGCGAACTAGGATCAGAAAATGACTGGGATGGTACAGAGGAGCTCACTTCAGACAAAACACTGAAATGACACCTTCAGACAGCAGGCCTGTCCTGAGATACCAGCACTCACACAGGGGACTACAAAGGTAATTAAAGGAAAGCAAGACCATACACTCCAACGCTTGGAGCTCTAACGCATCGAAGAGCTAAGCTCTGCTTAGCTAGCTAAGGCCTTCCAGCCCTTTTTCTCCCCCGTAGAGTAACACATATTTTACTTACACTGAGGACTTGCTGGTCTGATTGACAAGGCAAGCTAAGTATTTTATGGCACTTCAGTTTAAATACAATTGAGTAACTTCCCCCCCTGCCCCAGCTTCCTCAAAGACAAATGAACATCTGTCTAATTGAGGCTGCCAAAGGCAGCCTTTTAAAGAGAGACCACAAAGCCCCCAGCCCTGGTTAAATCCAGATGGCAAATGAGTGTGTCAGAAGGTGGGGATGTGATGTAGCATGCCTCAAACAACTAGGAAAAACACCTGTAAATTTACTAGAAGAGAGAGGGAAGGTCTGTGTAGGAACATTAGTTACAGTTGGGGGAAAGATATGTTATATTACTCACCTTGTTGAACAGTCTGACCTATAAACCACGAACGATATTCCTCATGAAAAGCTTTTACTTCAAACAGCTGCTGTGCACCACTATTGAATAAGTAAAGGGTTGCTTCCCCTGTTGAAAAGAAATCTGGTTTGTGTTTGTAAGCTTTCACAAAAATCAAAAGAATACCCAATACATCTGAAGAATGTGCCTTATATACATACAGACACACAAACATACACACATTCTACATAAACTGACTACAAAGAAAGCTCAGACAAAGAAAACTATTATATACAGATGTTCATTTACCAGCTCTATAAACCAAACTGAATTTGAATCAATAAATAAGATGTGTGAATAGTTCATCTTGCAACACAAAGCCTTTGATCCAAACCCAAATCAAAATCACTCAGAAAATCAGCTTTTGTATGTACTGAAGGGGAAAGGTGGAAAACAAGAAATTTCCTTCTCTTTCCATCACGTTTGTCTCCAAGATATCAGACTCTGGGTTAGGCAAACAAAAGTCTCAGATCTTCACGTGACAATTTGAAATAATTTTTGTGTGTGTGTGTGCATCAAAATGGACTGCTAATGACTCGGTATGGGTAGACAAATAAGGTGAACAAGGAAGCTTAAAGAAGTTGCTTCGAAGTGCCCATCAGAATCTTGACAGTTTGGAAAGGAAAAGGGAAGCTTTATTTTAGGCCACCCCATAGGACAGCTCTGCCGTTTCACATTAAGTTCTGGGTTATAATGAAAGAGTGATGGATAATTTGCAAACAGGATTGGCATTTTTCATACCTAAAACAGGTAGAACTACAGCATGGGGCACTGAAATTTGGTGAGCTGAGTCTGTTGGCTGGACTGGTCCTGTCTTGGTCATCAATCCATCTTCAAGAAACAAGAGCAACTACAACATGGCAGTCCTATTCAAAACACATGAACTGCAAAGCTGCACTGACTTGCAGCACATGGGCTGGCTCAAAAAAGTCTCAGTATAAGCCCCTGCAAGCTGAGGTCAGCGCTGCTGTTCTCAGTCTGCAGAGATCCCTAGGTTGCAGAGAGGTCAGCTAAAATGGGTAGACACATCTCTTCCCAAAAATGACTGATAATGCTTTTTCCCTTCTTTATTCAAAAGGCTGAGCAGATGTTTAACCTAAGTTTCAGTTTTCTGATAATTTTTCTTTGGGGCAGAGAGGAGTGAAGAGCAGATAGAGGTGTGAGTAGAGGTTTCAGTCATTACCATGTGCTTCTCAACAAGGGTCTACACTAGGTTTCATCAGCACCAGACATCACAAACTCCTCACATAAGTGCTCACTGAACAACTTAAGACTCCTACCAGTGAGCACGCTAGACAAATGCAAAGGTGAGCTACTAAAACTTGGGAAAGGGACCACTCCTACTGCCTGCCTAACTCCAGCTCATTTTATTTGCTCATATTAAAAGGACAGTCACCACAAGTTCCTAACAGTGTTGTTAAACAGAAACTCGAGGGGGTGGAGAGAGAACCTATGCAGCTTTGCTCACAACTTTACCACTTCAATTAGTTGCTTAAGTTTTGTGGTATGGCTATTTCCCTTCTTTTAGTTCAGCACTTTGAAAAATGCTTCTTGTACTTCTGAATTGCAGGCTGAACCCTATAGTCTTTGTAAGGGATAGAAATTTTGGCCTTTTTACCTGTCTATAAAAAGGGCCACGCATACTTTTTATTTAATAAAGTGGTCAGCATTAATTCTATAGTGTGCTGAGTCCTTCAGTGCATATTTATACAATATCTGGCATCAACAATTCATCTGTTAGACCGAAATGTAAGGAAAATACATTAGTAGGATGTTCTCAGTCCTTCCATTTTCAGACCTTATAATAGGCTACATAACTCCAAGTTTATGCAGGTCTATAAATAAGTTCCCATAAACTGTAAAGGAACACACTCAGGCAATCATTGTACTTTAGGTTTTCTTAGAAACCTTTCCCAAGATCTCCGATTTTACAATGTAAACAGATCTCTTGTTCCACAGAGAAAAGCAAATTAGTATCTACGCTTTTAAAAACATAACACATTAGAAAGCCAATATAACACAGCAGGTGGAAAATATCCATGGCTATGTATTCACACTGTAAATCTGAGCAATCAAAAAAACAGGTATAATGATGAGTAAGTGATTTCACAGTCTATATCTATTGTTTTTAATTATTTTCCTCTTTCAAGAACAAGTAGCAGTTGCTATATCATGACATTAAATAGTACCTGAAGACTTTAGTTACAAACATATATACATACGAACAGTGAATTTCAAAACAAAAACATACAACTTAAATCTATAAAAAACAAGCTTATGAAAACAAAAAAAATCAGCATGAAATGTGTTTTTCAAACAAAATATGTTAACTCCAACAAAGGCTTACTGCAAGTTTCTGCTGCAGTATCTCATACTTCAATTATTACATTTCTCATATAATAATAATAACAAATCCTTAACAAAAAGTCACTATATCGCCTGCATTTGCTGGTCTTTCCAATGTATTTTGAATTCAAAGTACCTCATCATCAATTAGTGAGAAAAGAGACACTACTCCTTGGACCAGGGAAAGAAGAAAATTAGATTCAAAAATTTAAAGACTCAAAAAGCTTGGTAAGTAACTGAACCACTTCTTCTAACTCCGACTATTTATTTTATAGCATAAGATGAATGCTATGAAGCCTAAATTTGGATTAAAAAAAGACCAGACTCAACACCCAACACTGTAAGCTCCCCAAAACCAATGCACTTAAAACAGAACTTAAATTACACTTCTTTTTTGTGCTGCCAATATTCCCAATAAATAAACACTTCGACCAATTAAAATTATAAAAGAAATCCTAAATGTTTGCACAGCACTAACTAGCTGGCATCACCAGCAGTATCTTTGGCACATAAGACTTATACAATCATCATTATTTCAGCTTGCAAAATATGAATGTTTTGGTGGTGGAGGGAATCAACCAGAACATTAACAGGCTCGTGTCACAATTCCAAAACTTGCCTGTGCTTGGATTGCGCAGTTTTGTAAACAGAGGTTCGCTGTCAGGTGTCTTAGGGGGGTCAGTAGCAGCCTCTGTAGGAGGAGAGAAAAGTTATGAACTTGTAAATTAAGTATTTCACGTTCTGCCATGCTTCTCCAAGATATTCAGAATTAACTGTATTGACACTTTTTGAAAACTCAGGTATTTTCTGCCTAGAAGTTATATGCCTCAGCCCGAATTCATCCTACCTGATCAAGGCAGCTAAATTATGATGCCAGACTTCCTGGCACTCTCTATCTGCCACAGGAAAAGATACACACCTGGGGATGATTTAGGTTTTGAAAAACACTTTCCCCTAGAGAGCCTCAAGCAAGAGAGCTCCTAAATTTGACATCTCAGTTAGGTGAGATGAACTGATATGTTGCCAATTAGTCACAAAGACAATGAGAATGCTTTGGTAAGTTAGGCCAAGCATAGTTTGGACATTAAAAAGTTAAAAGTATAAAAGGTAAAATATTTGTGAGAAGAAACAGTGGTCCTCTAAAGCTTTCAGGAAGTCAGATTATGCAGGAATATGAGGCAGGCATTTTCTGACTGGTTGTAACTTCTGTGAAAAATACGGACACTTGTTTATCTGTTATGTATAATCTTGAAAAATAAAGAGTGCATTTAATTCCCCCACAGGAAAAAGATGCTGAGAGAATACAGCAGCTCTGGCTTAAGCCTCTGACAGTTCTTTTTTCTGTGTCTTTAAGCAAAAAAAGACAAAAAGCAGAGCCACAAAAGTGCGGTTGCTCTGTGAAATTAAAAAAAACCAAAACAAAACAAAACAGAAAGGAAACAGCTCCCACAAGGATGCCGATTCAAGGCTGAAAAATCATTTATTAAGGATACCCAGGTAATTATACTCTGTCCAAGTTCTCTTTGTAGGAATTATGAAAACAACTTCCCACATCTGAGTGAAGAGCAACATGACAGCACCATCTTTCTTAGCTTGCATGCTGCCAGTTATTTTCCAGTTCCTTTCATACAGGCATTCAGCTGAGCAAGGAAAATTACTGAAGCATTTCACATACATAACCAGTACCCAGACTCCAGAGAACGGACTCACAGGGATCAGGCTGACATTTGTGTTATGGTGCTGCTGAGGAAAGCAGAGTCTGTTGGAAGGAACAGAAGTGCCACATTGTCTTTCTCCTTTCAGTAGCATCCAAGAGGTTTGCAGAAAGTGATAGCACAGTTCTTTTCTATGGAAAACAGGGAAGTAGGAACCTCAAGTACCATCAGAAATAGCTGTCCTCCACTCTGGCAGAAAGCCTATCCCCAACACATCCATAAAGGACAAGTGGACTTCTCACAGGCTGTTCACTGGCACCTCAGTAGCAAAAAAAAGCCCCAAATAATCCTCATCTCTCACATCCACTCCTGGTTATTCAGTTGTGTCACAAACAGAAATTGCCCAGATAAAAACATAAGCAGGACTTAAAAAACAAGTGCATTTTGTGATAAAGTGTTGGAGGATAATAGTCCTCAGAGCAGTTCAGAGAATTTACAGTCATTTGCTTCCCCTGAATTTTTAGCTGAGTCTTCAGGTGGCTTGAAAAAGTGCTTTACAAAGTTTCAATATAAGTTGAGGGTTTTTAATGGAAAAAGTCCGTATTTGCTAACCAGACTTGCTTCATATGCTGCTACATAAACACATACGGTTGTCAAGCTACATTTGCCCTGGCAAAGGCAAACTTCAAATTTCTAGAGCTGTGTATATTTCAATTCTTGACCACAGTTTAACATTAGTGTATTTTTTGTTACTTTTTGAAACACTACAATGATTAATGACAGTGAAAGAAACACACTGCATGTGTTTACTTTGATGTGTTTCACAGGAACATGTTAAAATATACACACTAAATGTGAGTTTCAAAATCTAAAACAAAAAGCAAAACAAAAAAACCCCCAAAGGAACTTTTAGCGCTCACTTGCCCTGCTTTCTTCATGCATAGATTTATGAACTCTGGGAATGAGTCCAGCTGAGCCCTAAGTTGCATCTTGTATAACGTGAACAATTAAGTAGACAATCCTTCCTAATGTAGCTTTTTAAAATTAACTTCACATCTTTATTTAGTTGATATGTTCTTTTCCTAACCTTCTAGTAAGACTGGATTTACCCATCCCCTGGGTAAAGGGGGATGGGAGACACCTGCACTTAGGCAGCACTCACTGTGACAAACCCAAGGGATCACAGAATCACACAGAATCACAGAATGTCATGGATTGGAAGGGACCTCGAAAGATCATCCAGTCCAATCCCCCTGCCGGAGCAGGAACCTAAATGAGATCACACAGGAAGGCATCCTGGCGGGTTCTGAATGATACAGTGTCTCTTCTCTTCCTCATCAACCCTCCGCCTTCCCAACCCAGATAACCGCCCTCCACCACTAAGGCCTGCCCCATGCTACCCCAGGCTCAGCACCACCTGCTCTGCCCCTTGGTATACACAGCCTGGCCTTACAGCTGCCCTGGCTTGGCCAGTAGCTCTTCCTCATGTGGAAAGAAGCTCAGCTCTGCCCATTTAGTTGTCCGCAAGCTCCACAGGCCTCATCACTGTGCAGAGGAGAGCAGTGACCATGCCCTAACGAACAGCCTGAGTCGCAGCCTTCAGTCACAGTATCTCATGCTGATGAGATCAGAGCGTACGTCACGTTCTCCACACAACTGTCAGTGAAGATGGTTTACCAGAAGGGACATGCACATACACACACACACAAGAAGAAGCACAGGAGTAGGCAAAGGCAATAGTTTCTCTGAGTTTCCTTTACTTTCAGTTACCTCAAAATGTAGGCAACACCCCAGTCCATTTCCAGGAGCATCTGAAGTAGATTTTTGTGACAGACTGGCTGTACTAGATGTTGAGTTGGCAGATAAAAAGAGGCAATTGGGAGCATGCTTTTGTGGAAAACTGGATGCAATATTAACACGGCCTTAAGGGCAAAGAAGGCCCTATTTATCTGAATTTAAACACTTTATGACGAGGAAAATGCTGAGCAAGGGATTTTTGCAGTTAGGTGTCCAAACCTAACTTGCGTGTGTTCTGGCCTTTAGTCAGGAAAGGTAACTGGATTTCTTTAATGTCACTACCTTTATCAGTCCTTGTATTTGGGCAAGGATCCTTTATAGCTAAATAAATAAAGACTTCTTAAAAAGCAGAACTGTAGCAACTTTCTAGCAAAACTAAGAGTTAAACTAGGTTGTTCAGGGCTTTTTTTGGGTTTTTTTGGTTTTTTTACAGTTTTAAGATTCACATCCAGATAAGACATAATCTTACAGAAAATAAGCAGACAAAAGGGATATTACAGGAAGAGCTTTTTTGTTAAATCCTAAAGGAAAACATTACAAGACTGCCACTACACTTATTATAACAGTTTCCCCAGCTCAGTCCTGAGAGATTTGTTCATCTGCAAGAATAACAAGTGAGAGAGGTAAGACCTTTCTGACAGAATATTATACTCTCTGCTAACTGCCTTGCAGCTGGAAACTGCAGGTAACACACAGTCAAGACAGGTCAGCGTACTAACAGATGTGCCAGTTTAGCGTGCTATTCTCCTAGGACAACGTTCACTACAAGGACACAAAAAATTGATACAAGGGTACAGAGGGGCTCAATTAATCCTCAGTTAGCATCTCAATTAGCAAGCCACTCTCTAAATTGCCAGGGAAGACAGACGACAGGCACTTCCAGGAGGCAGGTGAACCCACCTAAAGCCTAAATCCACCTGTATCATCCCCTGCAAGCATATGCTGCTGCCTCCACTGAGCTTACAGCCACCTCCAGCAACGCAGAATGCATCCAGACGCAGTTCCACTACAGCTGTAGCGGAGGAGGGAGTTCAGAGGCAAGCACAACGCAGGACTATTAAATGCCAACACTGGGCTGATGAGTATGTCTGCTTTTCTCAAGCGACAATCTACTCTTGATTCACTGTTAACCAAATCACACAAAGTCCACCTAAAAATGTGGGTGATATATCCATCAGTTGTGCTGGAGTCTACAGATGGAACCTCAGAATCCTGAAGCTGAGTGAAAGAGACTATAAAAGTTTAAATGAAGCTTTCTATTACGGAAAAGGAGAAAAGCCTCTCATATTTCATGGAGGTCGTACATACAACCAGGCAAATTCTGTAAAATACATAAACTGAACAAAGTGAAAATGAACCAGCTGTCAAAGGATTTCTGGCAATAATTTCTTCCACAATGGATAGATATGAGGCACTAATGAAACTGGCCATTAAAAAAAGAAGTGTTACAGCAACAGGAATAAATTGGAAAAGCATATAAAACTTCCACTAAGACCTATGAAACTGTTACGGATGAAGCAAGGTCTATTCACCTTTTATTTTTTTTTTTTTTTAAAAAAAAAACAACCAAAAACCAACCAACAAGTTGCTTATAGAATACCATATATAACAGACTAATATCAAGTTATATGGAATTCCCATGCAAAACGCTGCCAGCCAAGCAAGCAAAAAGGCTGTAAATATCTGTCAACTGCGTAAGCGGAAAAAACCCTCTGAGAGCACAAATTTCCCTACCACCATCACCCTGCAAAAAACAGGATCATTTAAAAGTCTGGAAATATAAAGTTAAGATTTCATTGCAAAACAGATATTAAACTACACATCAGCTACACAAGTCTTTTCTGTTCCCTTCTTAACTTCTAACCATGAATGAAAGGTGTGTCAGATGGAGACATTATGATGGAGCCCGTTAAATGGACATTTTATGGAAGATTTTAAACTATGTAGCCTAAAGGTACAGATATGTGAGATCTAATAATGATTTAATTTATGTTCTTTTTAGAATCAGTCAACCCTGAAGTAAATAGTTTTAATTCAGTGCCTGTGTCCTCTGCCCTGCAGCATGCTCTGAAAAAAGCCCACTGATTAATTAATAAATCCAGTACTTTGTATCACCCAAAGTTTTGTCAATTTTTATAAGTTACAAGGTAATTAACTATTAGCATAAGGAATGAATTAAGGTATGCAGAGACTGAGGATACAGTTTCATGAATGGCTTCAAATGACCAAAGATCACAGGCCACTGGTAGTCTTGAGGTTCCTCCACCTCTGCTGCTTTCCTTCCATCAAAACTAGCAATCTAGTGGCCACACAGCAAGTCGGCTCAGTTCACTGATCCAGCTGAGAAATAACCAGTCACAAAAAAGAGGTATTAATTCTCACCCCGATCAGTAAGCTATTCTCACTCATTATATGGTTACATGATCACTGGAACGAAGGGACAGAACCTGTGGCAGGAGCAGATGGCACAGAATTTAATCTACTCGATATGTGACACTGGGGTCTTTGACCAGTGTAAGCTAATTAGAAAACTAGATTGCATGGGACGTTACAGAGGTGGGAAAGCGAGGAGATGAGCCACAAGACTATATTGTTGCCTCCTCGGCTCACAGTGCTCTCGGGGGAGTACTGACAGGCAACCAGCTCGATTCACCTCTGCAAACAGCCTCTTTTGCAGGTGCTGACATATAAGGGACGGCTTTGCACTTGCACACACTTGATCTTTGGAAATATCTTCTTAGCTGTTACTCAGTTACGTTAACTTGATGTCACCTCACCACCCTACCCTCTCCTTGACCATACATTGTACTACCTTCAGTGAGGATACTTTGGCCATGCCTGTCGTAAAAGATAAAATGGTTATCAGTTTGGTAATCAGAGAATTTACCATTTGGTGCCCTAAGGAAATAACATTTAATGTGACATAATTTACACCCCTTAAAGTCTTTCTGGCTCCCACTTCACCTGAAAATCCTATATTAAAAACAAAGATATCTAAAAATGGCACTGTTTTGTATCCTGAGCAAAACTTCACATGGAAATGCTACTAGATGGCTTCAGTGGTCTTTTGCTCTAGTAGACAGCTATGCAATACAGCTAAATATTAAGACGTCTGCCTGAGAGCATCTTTTGGCTTCCCCTTACGCTGGCACAGTTCACTTCTTAGGCCAGAAAACATGTTCATGGACTCCCTGGCAGCGATGGGCAGTACTAATTCATCTGCTACTTAAGTCTAGATGCTAGGCAGACCATGCAGGGGTTTGAGCCGAATGAAGGAGAGGTCAATCTTGAGAAGTTCAAGCACAGGTTATCACTTGAAAGGATAAAAACTTCAGACTTCCCTTCTCAATATTTATAGGGTCAACACTGGTGCAGCTGTATTACTGGCTGAATCAGCCCTATTCCCACGTGCAGAGAGGCCCAAGTCGGCACCAACTGGTCTCTTCCAAGCCAGATGGCAGAAAGCAGAAGTAGGAGATGGATGTTACACATTAAAACATCTCTTTTCAGTTATTTTATTTGCTATGCTTCCTTCTGGCCCCTCAGCTTGCCACTTGCTCAGCTTTATACACAGCTGAGCTCAGTATGCCTTTTAAGAGATGACACAGAAGAAACGGTGCAAATTACCTGCAGGCACAAAGCTTTGTTCAGGAGATGCAAATGCCAACTTAGGGGGAGGTTAAGTAAAATACACCTGCAGAGCGCTGACTTCTAAAATAAGCTTATTCATATTCACCTTATTAAAAAGGCATGTAAATGTGCACATATTTAATATAAAATTTCTAATATTTTAAGTCAGCTGTTAAAAAAATATGCATATTTGTTTATTTATAATCATTACTTCCAAGTTCTTGTCTTTATCTAAATTATTCTGGAAGTGTTAATCTTCAAGTATCTTGCTCAATTTTGACATTCATTACAACTTCTGAATCAAGCTCCCTAACAGCCCAGCAGTGTGGTTTATTTTGTGGCAGAAAAATTGAATTGTCTTTTAAATGCTAAATAAAAGCATGTATCCAAGCATTAGGTGCAAGGTGTGTGAATGGAAAAAAGAAAATAATATCAAACCTACCTATTTCAGACTTTAAAGCAAACTACTTTTATACCTTAAGTATTCCACAGCTTCTTTTACTATGACATCTTCCTTCAATATGACCCAGAATTTTCAAGTCAAATGCTTCCTCTGTTGTTGCACAGAGACAGAAGTTCCTTAGTCTTGTTTGAGAGAACGAAGGATTAATTTAATGTGTGCTGATGCCCTATGGTTTGGCATCACAATTCATTTATTTCTGCCTCCATCTGACTCTTGGCATATATGAAATTTGTTCAAACAACTTGCCAAGTCTAATGTGAAACTGCTCCTTTTATTTTTAAATAAGTAATTCCTAAAAATAATAGGACTGTTAAATTTCTCTCCCTCCTTGTAATTCTTCCAGTGACACTCATATGGCAGTTCCCATAAAACAATAAAAAAGCTAATCAATTTACTGTTTAAGAAAACAAAACTGAAAAAGTGTAGTCAGCTAAACTTGTCTAGTGCAGAAAAATAAAGGTTGAAAATAATTTTCAGCTTGCAGCTACTTCTTTTCTTAATACAAGCACAGAACAAATTAATTACAGCAGTCTTAACTTTAGGTGTAGAACACCAGACTTAGAAAACTGCCTCCAATTCCTGACCTCTTTGCTAAAACCAAGAAGGATATAAAATAGTTCCAGTTCTGACACAACACCTGTCTCTGAGAAAGTGTACTGAAAAGAGACTGCCCTTCACACCCATCCTGTTAAGCAGCTGGTGTGATTTTGGTTGCTAGTGGTAAAACCAGTTTGAAATCATTATGTAAGAATGTTTATTTGATATACAGAGCCCAGATCAGACCTATGTCATGCACAGTGACTTTATCGCAGCATTTGAGGGTTTTCCAGGGCCCTGCCCTTAGAATCCTAAAAACAGGTGGGGTCTCAGTATTATTTCTGCCTAGAAAATAATTTCTAGTTCTTATGATTTTCAGAGAAAACATTAAAAATTGTATTTCTGTGGTCTCAACTCACAAAGCAAGTAGAAATTTCACATATGCACATAAAAAAAAAAAAATCTCATTGGTTCAGGTGGTAGGATTTTTAAAAAAGGTACATGAATACTCAGTAAATACAGAAAGCACATCATTAGCAACTTTCTAGCTGTGAGGTGGCCAGGTTTTAATCCTCAGGAGCTACTTCTTTTCCCTTGTACCCGTTCAGTAGCTAGATCAATACAACAGGAAGCCTGTATAGGAAGGTCTAGGTTCTCAAGGGTCAAGGGGGGGACTCTGATGCATGGGTAATACAACAGCCCTGATTATCCAGCCACCACGGGAAATGCAGAAAAGCACAATTTGGAAACTCGGCCACCCACCAGCGAAGTCCATGTGGGTCCTTGAGGACTTATTAGCACTTTGCTGTCTCTGTACCATGATTCCTCCAGAACTCCAGACTCGGGAGGTCTTCCTAACCATCGACGTCAACTACCCTGCACAAAGCAAGTTCAGATCCGGATTTCCAGCCAAGCTAATAAAATCCCCTGGAACGTGGCGCACAGCACAGAAACACCCAAGTGGGTCTGTACAGAGCCAGCTTGGGTCCATCAGGACTTATTAGTTCAGACACCGTCTGAAAGCAGCTGCACTGCAAAGCTGGTCCTGGAAATAGCAGAGATGTGTTAACATGGCACAGCACTTGAACTAATAAACTGTTAGTGCTGAGCTGAGTCTGTTCTAGGCCAAATCCACAGCGTAGTTAATGTGCAACTGGAGAAACTGCCCAAAGAGTTGGCTATTTCAAGCCCAAGTTTTCTGTCTTTATCCCATCTCTCCATATGACCAATTCTTCCATCTACCTTCTTCCTGTTTGTTCATCATTTTCTCTCTTGACTATTTAGATCTATTTCTCAACCTTCCTCTAAAAATGTCCACAATAGACTGCACAATGTACACCAGCAACTTTCAAGAGTGATTAACACTGTTACCACCCTCTCCTCATCCTACCTTCTCCACCAGACCAACACTTGCCAACTCCTCTGGCTCTGACTTCTGGCTTCCCCCTTTGTCCTGCCCTTGTTTCAATGCCTAACAATTATGCTTATAAAAACAAAACAAAAAGATTATTGTATTGGCACATCCAATCATCCTGCCTCCATGGAAAAAAAAGCATCAGCAGAAACACCACCACAAGAGCTCTCACCAGGACAAGGGCAGACTGCTACTTCTAAAGGTAAAATGTACTATCTCACCTAGAAGCTGCTTACCTGCCAGCCCAGATGTGACTGTCTGAGGTTCTCCTTTCCCCTTCCTACTCAGCCTTCCCTTGTGTGCCCTTCCCATGCCAAACAGCCCGAGTGTCTTAGTGTGGCAAAGGGCTGGTGAGAGCAAAGACTTTTACCAGGCTGCTGAGAAGACCAGTGCAGGAGGAAAGAATGAGGGTAGGCAAAGACTGATTGAAATGAAGCACAGGGCGAGTGGCCTGCTGACTAAACATCAACTTTGCCTCTCAGCTCAGGCAACTCTGCTCCCCCTTCCTACCTTCACCCACCCCTATAATCCATGCAAAATACGTGCTGAGCTGTGTAGTTTGTAGCTCTGCCCTATGATGTGTAGACACAAGGTGAACATTAACAATCAAAGTTTCAGAGCACTGGAAATATAATGATAGAGTTAACCACTTGTAACAGAAAGTGACAGAGTCTGGCCCTCTAGAACCATTCAAGAAGGCTGGAGTAACACACAACATTGATAAAACAACCACTCCAACTGCATTATGCCTCTAGCCATAATGGTGACTTCAACAAAGAACATGGATAGTTCTACCTGACAGAGCAGATCCCTCGTTTCTGAGCTGTTTCCAGAACACTGAAATCCTTATAAAAATTAAGAATTTAAAAGTAAAATTGAAATTTATCTCTTCAGTCATCAAACACGCTATGAACAGCAGAGCAGCAATTTATTGTCTATGCAATATAACACAGTGTATAAAAGTGCACTGAAACAAAGGAAATTAGTAATAATTTTATAACCTTCAACAGTACAGACAAGCATACTTTGTTCACTTACTATGGCAATCAGAAAATGAAATCTGCTTTTTAGCTGCTGTGTCCCAGATACCAATGCAATGTTGACAGTTGCTGAAGTCCAAATAAGAAAGAATCTCATCTTTCTCTCACATGTGCTTTTTAGAGTTAAATGTTTCTTCTACATGTCACGTAAGCAGCAAAACTGGCCAGAGACTTGTGCAGAATCAGACACATTCTCAGAACGACATTAATAACTAAGGAATCAGAGTAACACGTGCATCATTGTTTTGAACTCCAGCCATCTTTGCCTTGTTCTAGGAAGCTACTGTTGAACCTCTAACAGCTGGAATGACTGACAAATACTGATAGTTAAAAAAGCAAGTTTCAGTTCTCATTGTTTTACTTCCATACTTTTGACAGATCTCTCTTTTCTAGACTAAGGTATCTAGCCTCTTAGCAGAACTAGTCACCATCTCCATCCATACAGGAACTTCTAAGATGTCACAATCAAAGCAAGACAAATGGCATATATCCAAGGGGAGATGCTATTAGGTTGTGTAGGATGGTATAGATTAACCTGACAAACTGTTCTAGGAGGAAGAGTACCCAGGTGAGTAGTTCAGACTAACTTATGTGCTTGAAACCAGGACCTTAGAAAGTGCCTTTATTACAAGAAAAGTTCTGGAGCTTCTGGCACAGCATTAAAACACACCTTGTTCCTTCCTCCCACTATGCACAGGATAATGGCCACAGACACAAGAAGATAAATAGGCTATGTATACCTAGAAGGTGTTGGTAGACTTATTAACAAATGGTATTAAACTGACATCCAGAACCAGATCCCGCAATTATTCACACCAATCATTTTTAAGCACGTATGTAGCACGATGCCACGTGGTTATTATGAAGATATGGATTGCCATATGAATAAAGTTTAGCATAGTCAAAGATAAAGCATTTTTTGTTACAAATCCAACTGCAGCCATCTTCATTCCTAAAAGTAACCAGGTCTTCCTACTACAGATTCTGCTAAATGGCCAATGAAGAACTTGAGATCCATTCAACTAAACAGTTAAGAAATGCAAAACTTTGAAAAGTGATAGACGATAACATTAAAAATCTCTTTTCTGAAGAAAGTGTTAAAATGAAACTAAAGTCATTAAATCTATTTCATTTCAGCAATCCTATTCATATGACTGGAAAGTCCCATCAGCTGTGGAGTTCTGAAATTATCAGCCACAGACTTTTTAAAAAATCACTATGCACTTTGAGGTTCTACTAAGGCTTAATAAACTTTCTTACATGTCTGGAGTACTATATAAATTTTGTCAGAGCTGTGCTGGCATAATTGGTAATACAAACTGTCTGGCTTCATGAAAGTTACAAGCTCTGGCTCCAATCCTGCAAACACTTACTGAGGAATTTAACTTACTGCACAGAACTGACTACTCATGCATAAGTTAAGCATATTTGTAAATATTTGCACAGTATGGACATCTGTTGGCATAGCCAGTCATCTGATACAAGATTCAGCTTTAAATACTAGTCTGCAGACAGTTAAAATTTAAAAAAGGAATTCCTCACTTATAAATTCCTTTCTTAGGCATCAAGCATGTCAGATACCACAGGGTAGAATGGATAAGTTAAAACCAGAGCAAGAGTGGAATGGGTGAAATTGCAACAATTGGTTCTGTTTCTCAAGTAACTAGTGAAGCCTGGTTTCTTAGAGATGCATGTCTCAAGACTGAGTTCCTGCCTTGTTTTCCACCTTTGCTGAACTAACCTCTTGCTACACCTTTCCATCAGTGGTGCCGTTTACACCATTTCTCACATCACCACAGACATTTTCACAAAGCTGACAAACTCCACCTTTTTATCAGATCTGTTTGAAATTAACACTCAAAAGTTTTGGGTGGGGTAAGAAATAGGCACAGTACAAGCTGACCCATGGAAAATTGAGGAAGTTGCATTTCCTTAGCAAATCAAACTAAAAAAAGCACTTATGAAATGCTTCTTTACTCAGTGTCTTGGAGTTTGAGCACATCCCGTTTCACTCATCCACTTTAATACAAAAACCTTTGCGATTTCTGAATTTAAAATTTTAAAACTTGATACTAGGCAGAAATATATGTAAAGGGGGAAAGGCAGCTACCCATTTATTCAGCCCTAAGTGAGAGAAACGAAGCCTACAGAATGTTTAAGGCCTTGTGTATATTGCATCTGCAGAGCTGCTATACATAGGCTTCTTTAGCCTATAAAGAGGAAGAGCTGAGGAGATCTCACTCTGGTTTAGGACTTTCGGTTTCCAAGGAGTTTGTTTTAAAGCTGAGACTTAAGGCACTAAACCTTTGCCTTCAAAAAAATGCAGGAATGGACTAAGGGGATGGAGGCAAGGTGGGCTGCCAGCAGCAGAGAGGTGACAGCACAGCTCCATCTGGGACCTCGGTGACAAGACCTTTCTTCTGCAGCTCCTCTTCCCAGGGCTCACAAAGCTGTTTGCAAAGCAGGAGCGAGCTTATCTTCGGAAAACCCTAACGACACACAAAAATAAACCGCAAAGATGCGGCGAGGGAAACGGAGAGAGGGGGGTACCCCCCCCTGTGGGGCCTCGTGTAAAGGCTGTGTCTCAGCGCGTCCTTACCACACCAGGGCTGGGGCTGGCTGCACACAGCAGCCCAGCGACCTGCCCCAGCCCTCGGAGAAAGGCACCCGGCTCCTGCCCGACAGCCGCCCCG